GCATTATACATATCCACAGTTATCAAAGGGAGTCTTATTGTAAAGTGTTGAACAGTAAACTATTTATTAATGATTAATAATGTCATATCAGAGCCTTATAAACAGTTTACTGTTAAACACTTTACAATAAGACTCCTTTATGGCATTTAAACAAGTTTATTAGTCATTAATAAATAGTGTACCTGTCTTAATAAGGCTCCCATTGACAGTTGTTAATATGTATATTTCAGTAACATAGTACAGTATTATTTTTAAATATGTGTTTCCAATACATAATTGTGCTCACAAGCCTAGTAATTTGTACACGAAGAGATTTGGCTCACTATTTGGCAAGACAGTTTTGCCTCTTTCCCATTCTTAATTAATCCATAATAAATATTTATTAATGATTTATAAAGTGTTTACATATGAATCAATAACCTGTCTGTAAACTGTTTATAAGCCATCTATAAGAGGAGCCTTATTGTAACCGATTTATTCCTCTTCTGCTACCTTTCATTTTATTTTAATTTATGTTTTCTCTTGGTTTTCTGTTGTATCTTGTTATTGTTTGATGAAATGAATAAATTGAATTTTAGAGGAAATGTTCATTGAAGAGGCATCAGGAGGCAGTGAACTAACAGGAAACAATGCAGATAAACACGACTCAAAGTGGACTAACTTTAATTAAATAGTTGACTTTTATSTAAAATGCTTCACTTTAGCTCCTCCATAATGTTTCCATTTGAACAACCTAATGTTTTGGGGTTAGTTTGCATCAGATCTGTGTTTTAAAGTTGCTGAACTGGTCAAAGTTTGCACCTCTCTGTTCTAAATGTCTGTTGTTGCTCGAAGCGAAGCCACAAATCACAGGGCAGAGAAGGGAAGTGACTGCAGTCGGGGGGTAAATCTAGGTTTGCTGTGCTGACTTCACAATTAAGACATTAATCACTGGGTTGGTTGTGCAGAGTCATCGTCCTGCCTGTGGTCAGGCCATCGATCAGAACCTGACATCTGCTTGGCCACGTGGACTCTCAGGGATCCCCCACAGAGCAGGTCAGGGCTGCAGGAACCTGAAACCTTCCTAACATGGTTGCAGTAAAATAACCAGTTTTTGGACTGATCTGCAGCTGGTGGAGATGTGATAAAGTCTCTTAAAGCTGTTTATCTGCAGCACAAACAGGAAAAAGCTACAAAACATGAGGAAATGTTTAGGAGCTTTGAGGAAGGACTTAAAACATAAGAAGAAAATAAAAACATTTTAAGGATTAAATTATGTAAAACCATCAAGATCTGTAAAATAAAGCACCAAAGATTTGTTTAAAGAGTAACGGAGGAAAACTAAGTGTAATCATCAGTTGTCAGARGTTGAAGCTGATGGACCTCTGGTACCTGGGTCATCATGGTCTCCTTGTACTGCTTCTTCTGTGTGACTTTGATGGGCGGCTGTTTGGTGACGGCTGAAACCAGGAAGTTCATCAGGATGTCCTCGCAGTTGGCCATGCGGTCCACCATGGTCCGCAGGCTGGCTGGGACGTAGTGCGTGAACAGGTAGTGGTAGTACCTGATGGAGAGGAGAGGATGATCAGGTCCTGTGTGTGTCTATTATGGGCTGCCGTTTGTAAAGTTACACAGTCAAAAATTAACACCAATATTTGTGTTTTATTTAACCTTTTATAAGAAAAAAAGAAC